AGGGTCCCCGTCCCTGTCCCCAGGAGGGTCCCCGTCCCTGTCCCAAGGACAATTTAGGCAGTGAGTGGGAGTAAACCTAGTAAGTGGGTGGGAGCTTTAATGACTAGAAGAGAGTGGAAGAAGACTAGGGGTAAAAGGGTCAGTCAGTTTGAGATAGCTCAAGATAAAGGGGAAGTTGTGGGGGGAGTTAGTAGTCAGGGGGATGCCCAGGTACATTATGTAATATGTCCTACAGGGTGGAGTAGTAGCAAGCTTAGAAAGGGCAGGGAAAGTACGACTGTGTCAGGAGGGTTTAGCAGGGGGGGGACTACTAGGTGTAGGAAGGTTAGTGGTAAAGCTAAGAGGAGGGGGAAGTGCCCAGTACCAACTAAGCTAGAGGTAAGAATGTTATATAGTGGGTCCCTTAATCCTTCAGGGTGGGTGGAACAGGTTAAACGTGAAGAGGGGGAAGGGGATGTCAGGAGTGTTAAGTCTAGTGAGGAGGAGGGAGGGGATGTCAGGAGTGTTAAGTCTAGTGAGGAGGAGGGAGGGGATGTCAGGAGTAGTGTTGTGACTAGTGAGGAGGAGGGAGGGGATGTCAGGAGTAGTGTTGTGACTAGTGAGGAGGAGGGAGGGGATGTAAGGGATACCTGTGATAGTGTAGATAGTTATTCATTCCAGGTAAGTTCAGGTCATGACAATAAACTGCAGGTGAGAAATACAACTTTTCCATTTTATGTTAATTTTCAAGGTGAGATTCATACCTTAGGCACAACTGACAAGTCAATTCAGGTTACTTGCTTGCAAAACATGATTAGTGAGTTTTTTGGGTTTAACATTTCATACAAAAGCCTTTGCTTGGGCGGTAAATTTTTATCTGACAACAATGAAATGATAGAAATTTTTGATAAAACAGTTTCTTTAACACATTTTGGCCGTGGAGGTGGCAGACCTTCTGTATCTGTACATCCAGACAGGCCGTGCTTCTCTGCTTGTGCCTATTGTAAGAAGCCTTCATCCTTTGGAGGTTACAGGCATCCACAGGGGTGGAGTGAAGAACTAAGGAAGTGGGTGGATGAAAACACAAATTTAACTGGCACGGATTGTGTGTGCCGTAGTTGTGAACGTAACTTTAGAGATTTGTCCAAAATGTCCGTTTCGACGACCACCCACTCTTCCAAGGAACCTGAAACAATGGTACAGAAGTCATGTTTTCTATCTGAATTTGGATTATGCGACAAATTGTCTGCCCATGAGAAAAGAAACATTTCATTAGATGATATGGTGGCTTATGTTTCCTCTATTTCTGACCAAGCTACTGGTTGTCTTTGTTTGCCAGAAGCTGTTTCAATGTGTGCTTTTCATTATCATCAATTTTATAGATTTTGTGATCAAGATAGATGCACACATTGCTGTAAGGCAATTAAATCCCATCAAAGAAAAAAATTCTGTCCAAAATTGAGAATAACAGATTCTGCCCTAAAAGTGGCTGAATCAAATTTGTCTGAAGGTTGTATTTTGTGTGACTATTGCTATCACTGTTTGTATAAGTCAAAAAATATTGTTAAGGGTGAGGACAATCTTGAACTACTTTTGGATATGTTGAGAAAATCAGAGGATTCATTACACCATAGCCCCGAAAATTTACCACAAGTAGCATTGCACCAGGTTTCTTGTAAGATTGGAGAAATGTTTTTGGAAAGTAAACCAATACTTCTTGTGGATGCCTATGATCTTTATGTAGCAAATGTACACAAGTTAAAGAAAGGATTTGAATGTGAAAGGCAAAGTAATGTAACTGATGATGACACTTTCTATTTTGATTCACGTTGGCTTTTGGTTGGACTCTTAAATGATTTAGGAAACTTTATTTTGGTTCACAAAAGTTCTAACACCAAGCATAGTTTAATGTTATACTATAGATATTGTGATATCATAGAATCCCTTCATTTAGTATTGTATTCTGTAAGAGTTAACTCTCAAAAATATGATCAAGAGATCAAGTCTATTCAGACTAGTTTTGCTTCTATGCTTAAAGATGTAAATAAGGATAGTATCAATTCTGGCCTTTTGTCTTCCCTTTTGTATATGAATACTGTGATTCATCAAGAATCCTCCAAATTTATTGACAAATTCATACAGAGTCCAACCTCCCTGCATGAAATTGACCTGTTCCAAATTTGTAAAGAAATAAATCCTGTTGTTTGGAATTTCATTGTTGTGTTAACTATGCAAAAGTCTGAAATTTCTTTTTCTGATTTTGAAACTTCGGACATGAATGAACATTACTTTGCCTTTCTAAAGGACGAGACAATCCATAATAGCTCTAAGTTTTTGAGGCGTCTTTTCACTACTTTCCTTATTTTCTTTATTGTCTCTGAGGGCCAGTGTAGTTATCCTTTTCATATGATAAATTCTGAGTTGATTTATTCCTATAGCCAATCTCCTGATTTAATGCAACTCTTAAATCGCCTCGGTGTGTGTTGTTCTAGTGATTCGCATAAAAGATTTATTT